GCGTCCTGGCGATGTCGGTCGTAAACCTCCTTCATGGTCTCTTTAGCCTGGCATAGTGCGGACGCGATCTCCTCATGAACCTTCTTGAGATGTTGAGCATATGACGTGGCGGCAGGTACGTGGTCTGTGGCGCGGGGATTGAGTCCACTATATGGGTGGCGTCCCTCAGAGGCGTAGAATGGTGTCTCATGATGCGACATCGTGAAAACCGTTAGAAAGTGGTCCAGCCGCGGTGCAGCTGGCCGCGGAAGTCGGGCTGGCGGGCCGCGTGTGCGGCCGGTTGCGCCCGCACGCGCTGGCCAGCGGCAAGAAAAGCACGCGCTGCCGGTGCACCTCACAGTCGTCAGCGTGCAAGCAACCAACATCCCGCGGGCGTATAGCGCTGTGCACCAGCAGAGGAAAACAAGAAGCCTGAACTTATCAGCTGTTCCTCGGGTGCACCGGGCGCGAGCCTTTCGGCCCTGATGCGGGGATTATAGAGGTCGCGTCAACGCGTTAAGCACCTTGCGCTCACCCCACCAACACGACTGCGAATCGTCGTGGTTCATGTTTATAGAACTAGCTCAAGCCCTATTGATACAGTACAAAGTGTCCGCTCAGGATTCGGGGCCTTCTCCGTCTTCGGGGTCGTACGGCTCGTCGTCATCGTCATTAGCCACCTCCTCGTCCGAGACCACTCCGTCAATACCATAGTCTTCCTCCTCCTCCTCCCGTGCACGTATATCCTTGCGAGACTCGACAAACTGCTCTCCTCCATCTGTCCGTCCCATTTCTGCACCTATAGCAATGAAGTCGACGTCGGTGAATAGCTCGGTCGTGTAGCGTGCTTCCTCTGCACTGGGCTCTGGCTCGTCGAATGCCTGCTCTTCTCCACTCTCATAGAATGACTCGTCGCTCGCCGCACTTCGGGTTTCGTCCTCGTCCTCGTCAGTTTCGTCTTCGTCGTCCTCCATCTGCGAGTCCTCGTCCATCTCCACATCCTCGTCCGATCGGCTTTTGTCGGCAGCTCTCTGTGCCTCGCGAGCCTCCAAATCAAGTTTATCGAGGTCGTCTAAGAAATAGTCGGTGGCCGTGCGTGTACTCGTGTGACCGGGTGCACCGCCTCGGTATCGAAGGACCATATCACGGTCAACGAAGCTATTTGTCAAGTCAGTTCCTGTGCGAGAATGAGATCTGGTACGTATACCCACAAGTTCACATAGTGCCATCGCCATTCGCCCAGCTCTGGACGAACGACAGATGTGCCTATGAGGGCTGCTGTCTGGCCATGTGCGAATGCCGGGATCATGTGGCTCGCCCGGAGCACGTCTGCGGGATCAATGAACCCGAATGGCTCGACATCGGGATTGCCATAGGGCACAAAGCCGACACGGTATAGCCTCTTTGCTCGGAAGCCACCCTTGTGTGCTGGGTCGAGCATCATCCACCGTACCCACAGCACATTGTACAGCTCTTCCTTCTTGCTCGCAGGCTTATCGCCATGATAGGTTGCACGAAGGTGAAAGATTGCGATGACCTGAGCATACATGTACGGGTGCCCACCTTCGGGTGCAGGTGACAGGAGCATGATGAAAGGATGCGAGCTTGGGTTGATGCTGTCTTGATCGATGCGCATGTCGTAAGTAGTATAACTGACTCGTACGACCTTGTGTCGGTAGATGCGATTCTTCGAGATCTTCAGAGCGAGTCGATCATTGACGTTAAAGCGGCCATCGTCTGGTTCTCCTGTTGTGCGTGAGAGTAGATGATCTTTCAGAAGACATAGAAAGCCCTGTTGTCATGTATGTCAGTCATGATAGCATCCCTTTGGATGTCAATAGAGATGGCACCTACATGAAAGGCAGGATCGGCTCGGTTTCTGTGGAGCCAGCTATTCATATCAACTGCAAAGTTCTGGGAGTGTGCAATATGATGATGCTCGTGCGGTTCCGTGAATGATAGTGGCTCGCTGTCTTGAAAGCGTAGAGATGGCGAATCACTCTTGGCAATCTTGTCCCACTCGTTCATGATGTGGATCTTCTTCGTGCGCCTCTCGAGCTTTGATATCCCACACACAAAGTCTGACTTGCTGACCCGTTCAAACTCGCTCTTGCCCCGTCGATGTTCAGCCTCACTCTGTGATTGTGTCAGAGTGAACAGATATATGAGGTGAGATGGTAAAGAACAACCTGCGCTGTTGAGCCCCCAACAAGAGACCCGATCTCAGGAATAGCCTCAACGAAATGACCGAGGTTGTGATACTTCGAAGTATTGATACTGAGAGTACGCTCCTTGGCTGTAGTTGCAGCAATGCCAGCACCAGATGAAGCTGTACTTTGAGTTGCCTTGCGCCTGCTGCGCGCGCGAACCTCCTTGGGTAGGTCAGTCGTACGATAGACTTTCTCAGTCTCCCGCTTGAAGTGGCGAATGTAAGCACCGAGGCGAGTTGTGCTGGTACGGAACCAGGCAATAGTCATGTCCCAGTGCATGTGAAGCTTTCCATATGCATGAAACTCCATAAGAGTGAACTGCATGTCCTGATGGATTCTGTCGAGTGCTGGTTCGGGAAGAAGCCCTTCCATGCATGGCATGGAGCACTGTGATGTATTCAATCAAATCAGAGTGTGTATATGAGCCCGCATGTATATGCCTACCTGCAATAGATCTTTGAAATCACGTCCAGCTTGATACTTGAGATCAGAAACATTGGAGTGGAATGGACGAATGACATCTCGGCCGAAGCCGGGGACAAGAGAATATCTGACAATATGTTAAGAATTGTTGTCAAGGGTCAATAACTAGGACTCGCCGTTTATTGAGCTCGTCAACTGCCCCATCAATAAGTGCATACAAGCGCAGTACCTGCAGGAATATAGCCTTCCAGACACCAAGCTCAAAGTCATGCAGGATGTCCGGCACAAACATCTTGAAGTAGTCGAAACCGAACTTGGCCAAACGGTAAGAGAAAGCATTCTACATGCTCAAATCAGTATCAGACATGGCATATATGTGTATGGCTCACCCGTGCAGGAGTCAGAGAGAAGGGACCAAGGACGCGCTCGATAAACACACTCGTAAGGGACCTCCCCTTCTCAAAGATCCATGCGCGGACCATCTCAACCTTCCCCTGTCGCCTACGATCATCAGTCCGCCTGAGACGCACACGATTTCTCATGTCATTGTGTGTGCCCATGAGGTGCGCCAGGCCTTTTGAGATCAGACACTGGGCACAGGGATACACCGAGAGGTACTTCAGACACGCAATTAAGATCCTGCATGGTGAAGTAAGTCCAACATGTACACACATATGAGCAAAGGATGTACTGACCGCTCTGGATAGTCTGCGGAATAAACTAGTATGCGTGGAAAGACGCGCCGGGTGATACTATCGGGAAACCTGATGAGAACACCATAGACATATGCATGTACAAATGCGGGGCTGAGTAGAATCAACCAGATGCTCTGAAAGAGGTCGCGTTTGGCCTGAAGGATGATTGCGGCTGTGGCAACAAGCCCAAAGGTAGCAAAGAACCAGGCAGGAAAGCTTTCCGTAAGCTGGAAAGTAATGAGCAGAGAAGATATACGACAATGAAGATAGTAAACTCACCTTGGGGACATAAGCAATATGATGAGTAGCAAAAGAAGATAGCTTCATGTGGATATGGATAGGCAGGTTTGCATAACACTTGTAGATGGGCCAGAGAGAGGCTGTCCTGAAGCTAGCAAGATGGGTAGTGTCACGGTTCGACCCTCGGTCCCACGATTATTCATTTTTCTTTTCTTTTCCCTTCGATTATCCGGCAACGGC